ATGTGACAATCTGCTAAAATCTAGACTTGTCCACGCGGCAGTGTCCGTGTGCCAATTGTGACTAACAGAGGGGACAACGGAAGCATTTTGCCATTTGTGTCAAAAGTATATAATGTTGCTGATCATAACCGTGTAATGTATACTGCGTAATCTCTCTATATATATGAGGGAAATTTGTGAATGTGTGTCTGTTCAAAGTATGCTAAATGTTTAGCATACTTACCGACATGCAACAAACTTGAAATTTGACATGTGGGTACTTTCCAGACTTTACACCATGCAAAAATACTTAAAATAGACTTTTGTATTTTTTGGGGGGGAGGGGGGGCGCAAGAATGCATATATTTTGCACCGCAAGTGAGCTGTGACGTCACATCTGTCTTGTGACCCGCATGCAGAAGCGTCACGCAGTGTGCCTGCTGACGTCACGCATCCCCCCCACCAACCCTCCGCGAGTAAAGTGCCATACAAATGTGTTGCAGGTGTAAGGCGTTCTTCGCGCAGCATTGCTGCTTTATTATTTGAGTCGTTTACTGCCGTACGCACCCTGAAAGTTGTGTGTGTCTGCAGCAAGCGCATGTATGTGTACCTATGGACGCGCGCATGTGTGTGTGGGGGGAGCGGTGGTGTAGTGGTTAGCGCGCTGCGCTACGAACCCGGCGACTCGAGTTCGATTCCCGCTCACGACCAATACCGGTTACGATTATCTGAGCCAGTCATGGGCCTCCCCTAGATCGACTCAGCCTCAAATGAGTACCTCGTATTTATTTCTAGATTTGAAGTTTTTATTCACTACTGCAATTTTGCTGTGGCGGTTCCACCTGAAGACGGAGACTTGTGTTGCTTCAGAAACGTCGTGATTTAATTTAGTTGTTTTCATTTAAATTTATTAAATTTTTTACCTACGTGACTTTATCGAAAAAAGCAAAAAGTATATAGTACCTAGTATAATCATAAGGGGGGCTGTCTCCAACTGCCCGTAAGCCTCCTACACAAAGGGTGATCTTAACACCCCTGGGTACAAGTCTCCAATAGGTCTACACATCTCCCGGTCCTCCTGCCCTACACATCAGCCCATCTCTTCTTTAGCCCATGCCACACCGACTTCGTCCCTCTAATTTGAGTCAGGCAGTTGATTACATTTGCAAAAAAAAAATTCCGAGGAACTCTGCTTTAAAAAAAACATTTGTATCAATTTCCCTCCCTTCTGATGAGCGCATTTGTGCACACCCCATGGACCAATGCACTAGGGTGGCCGAGTTTAAATGAGGCCATGAGGCGTAATGAGTTATTACTTGCAGCCGATCACAAAAAAACCTTCAGCTGCTCGGGCAGCTGAAGGACTGAAGTCCATTAACATCTGAGGAGGTTGGCACTATCTCCCGCGTTACACTGTAACATGTGCCGTAAAATATTTTCTAAAATAACGTTTTATCAGCACACCAATTCACCGGCAATGTACCCATATGCCCCCCCTAGCCCCCCCAAACCTCACGCAAGCGTTAATTATTTACCAAGAACAATATTAAATGCAGCCACAGAACTCTGACAACGCCAGATGACAAGAGCCCTACAACTAATATCACTCCACAGTAGATATACCGTGTAGATGGTATATCTATAATGCACCTTTGCATGTTAAAAGTCAAATTTAAGTCACAGGTGCCTCCCGTTATAAACAAGAAATGGTGCGGCATTTAAAAAGCAAATACATTTTTTGTATTAACGTCATTCTTAAATCAATCATTTGTTTTGGTAGTTAGTGGGGCTGCACCAGCAACTGCGCGTGATCCTGTGTTTCAGGCACAAGAGTTGAAACTGGGTTCTCCAGTGCAATGTTTTGAAACGTCGTGATACCTACGCGACTTTACTGAAAGAACCAAAGAGTATGGATTCTTGCAGTCACGAAAGCTTCAAATCAAGATTGAATGTTTTGAAGGTTTTAGCTCAGTCACCGGTGACTGCACAACAATTATATATATAATACCTTTTTATTTAACTTGCCTCGATTCAGCTCTGAGAATGCTTTACGATGTTTTGCTTGCTGAGCAATGGACACCCGCTGCAGGGCATGCGAAGGAATGCCCCTGGCGCGTGGATAGAGAGGCGTTTGGAAGAGACCTCGGAAACACCCGTGTGACATCACGTTCCAGCGCCAAGTCTCACCCAAGGTGACAAGGCAGCGATTGCGAAAGTTCCCAAGTTGGAGCATTCTTCTGAACCGATGCTGATGTTACCATTGGAATTTAAGTGGGAGGGTAAACATTTATTGAAAAACTTCTTCAATGATAATTGGTTCTTTACCCTTCTATCTGGCAACAAAACTGACACCTTTTTACAAGGAGTCATGTTTGCATAGACCGCAATACCTGCAGTCATAAATACAAACAAAAGACATAACTCTGATAATGTGCACTGTCCTTGAAGTTGATTGGTCCACACCCGAGACAGCTTTCCTTCGAGCCTAGTCTCACATGGGTTGGACCAGAAGACGCCAAAAGGCGCACAACTCAAAGACAATGCACCATCAGAGTATGAGAGCTCGGGGCAAGCATCTACACTATGGGGACCTCATTTGCCAGTAAAAATATGATAATTGGTTCTTTACCCTTCTATCTGGCAACAAAACTGACACCTTTTTACAAGGAGTCATGTTTGCATAGACCGCAATACCTGCAGTCATAAATACAAACAAAAGACATAACTCTGATAATGTGCACTGTCCTTGAAGTTGATTGGTCCACACCCGAGACAGCTTTCCTTCGAGCCTAGTCTCACATGGGTTGGACCAGAAGACGCCAAAAGGCGCACAACTCAAAGACAATGCACCATCAGAGTATGAGAGCTCGGGGCAAGCATCTACACTATGGGGACCTCATTTGCCAGTAAAAATATGATAATTGGTTCTTTACCCTTCTATCTGGCAACAAAACTGACACCTTTTTACAAGGAGTCATGTTTGCATAGACCGCAATACCTGCAGTCATAAATACAAACAAAAGACATAACTCTGATAATGTGCACTGTCCTTGAAGTTGATTGGTCCACACCCGAGACAGCTTTCCTTCGAGCCTAGTCTCACATGGGTTGGACCAGAAGACGCCAAAAGGCGCACAACTCAAAGACAATGCACCATCAGAGTATGAGAGCTCGGGGCAAGCATCTACACTATGGGGACCTCATTTGCCAGTAAAAATATGATAATTGGTTCTTTACCCTTCTATCTGGCAACAAAACTGACACCTTTTTACAAGGAGTCATATTTGCATTGACCACAATACCTGCAGTCGGAATGCAATGTTAGACCAGATGACGCCAAAAGGCGCCAAAATGCGTCTTTTGGTCGTCATCTGGTCCAACACCATGTGAGACTAGGTTCTAAAGAAAGCTGTCTCGGGTGTGGACCAATCAACTTCAAGGACAGTGCACATTATCAGAGTTATGTCTTTTGTTTGTATTTATGACTGCAGGTATTGCGGTCTATGCAAACATGACTCCTTGTAAAAAGGTGTCAGTTTTGTTGCCAGATAGAAGGGTAAAGAACCAATTATCATATTTTTACTGGCAAATGAGGTCCCCATAGTGTAGATAACTTCTTCAATAATAAAATTAATAAATTGGAAATTATCACGAATGCAAAAATGTAAGCCACATATTTTTTTATACAAAGGTCTTTGCTTTCTGATGCCACTGCCATAATGCTCATTCATCATTAGACCTCCTTTGCCAGTACCAAAGTATAATAACAGGATTTTCCCCTTATTATACTTTGGTACTGGCAAAAGGAGGTCTAATGATGTGGATGCTTACCCCGAGCCCTCATTACTTTGATAGTGCATTGTCTTTGAGCTGTATGCCTTTTCGCGTCCTCTGGTCTAGCACCAACTGAGACGAGGCTCAGAGGCTCAAAAGAAAGCTGTCTCTGGTGTGGACCAATCAGTTAAGGACAATGCATATATTATCAGAATGTGTTTTTTGTTTGCATTTTGATCACAAGTATTGTGGTTAATGCAGACACGATTCCTTGTAAAAAGGTTTCAGTTTTGTTGCCAGAAAAAAGGGGAAACCCCTATTATAATGCTCATTCAGTTACAAAATCAAACACAGTGATTTCCTGCTCAAATGACCACTGAGCCGGTGGTTCTCACTTCTCATTCAGAGCTCAGAGCCATGAGTGAAAGTTCCATGTTCTTATGGCAGGGGGGGGGGGCGAGTCTAAAATTGCACCTTTCTTCATTACTTTTCACTCAAAATACTTAACGAATAATTGTACAGCCCTTTTCATCAGTGCACTGCTGAACGGAGGTCCCAATGTATATCAGCAATTAGGGTGGGGGGTTGTTTGACCATACTTCACCATGTGGGTCAGCGAGGGCTGGTGAAGACTGGTGCCCAGGACCTGTTCAAATTTTATCGGAACATGTTGACCCGTGGCCGGGAATCAAACTCAGGTCGCCGAGTTCAAAGCGTGTGGCACTGACCACTCCACCCCATGTGTCAAACTTATATTCATCTCTTTATGAAACAAAACTCAATCTGCTCTGCCAATACAAAATATCAAAGGATGGATATGTACACAATAAGAATACGTAATAAATGCACACCCTTAGCTTTTCATTATGCCACATAAAGCACGTTTCATCCACCCTGGTATGGATACGAAAAGCACCAGGTACAATAGAACACTTTGTACATAGCGCTGGGATTAGACATTATCGTGTGTTTGAAGCCGTCGATGTGAAAACGGCACTACACACAAAGCAGTTCGCCGAACAGTGCTATAGCCACTGCAAAGACTGGCAATAATCGTCTATTAGCACAATGCCACTAAAGTCTATTGCTCTGCTGATACGTTTGCAATTTAAGTGCAGGTTCAAGTTACCCGACTGACCAGTGCAGACGGTAATTAGGAGTAAGAACAAGGTTTTGCTGACGTCACTCACGCATCAAGACACTGCCAAAGGTTCACAGCCGTACCATGCTGGGTGCGTCGTACCCACCATGTTCTCATCGTCGCTGGCACTGATAAGACTCTGGTGGGCGGCACCAGATGGCAGTTGGTCCAAATCCATCGCGTGCGGAAAGTTCAGCTTCCTTCTTGCTCTTCTTGCTACAGATGACAAGAGGATCTGGTTATTATAAGGAAATGTAGCCATAGTGGCGCCTGGTATACAGGGAGTCGTGGGTTCGATCCTGACCCTGACGCCTGCATATTTGGAGTTTGCATGTTCTCCCCGTGGTCTCGTACATTTTTCTCTGCGTCCTTTGGTTTTTCCCTCCACATTTTAGAATAAACACGCGTTTAGAGTATTTGGCTGCTAAAGTTTTCACATGATAAGCCACTTCGTTGGGTATCATTTGTGGCCAGGTCGCTTCTGAAAAAGAGCTAAATAGCTCAGTGGGACATACCTGGTAAAATAAAAAATGTTTACACTTTAGTGTTATCATAATTCCAAGCGTGCACCTCTCCGTGCATTTGTTACACGTTCTCTTTCATTGTCTACGTTTCTATTCTGCACGTTGTGGCCGACAATATTGATTGAGAATGTTTTCTTTACCCACACACAATGGTAAGGTGTGCAAAGTAATTACCAATTAATCACCACTGCACTACCATCAGGAAAAAAAAATCACAACAGTGTGGGGGGGAGGGAGGAGGGGGAGGGTCGCACGGCACTTTAGTTACTGAAATAAATCCAGTCCCTCATCCACGTGGGTTAGCATTTGGTAGGAGCACTGCGGCTTTGCTCGTTCATTGTTTAGGCAGAAGTGTATTACCGTCGGGTGAATTGAACGCCTCTCCGTGCAGGATAACATCCAAGCACAAACCCGCAACCCGGATGCAATTTCATTCCTCTACGGCAGTGATTTTCAAACTCTTTCGGCCCGCCGACCACTCAGCCGGTGTAAAAAAATTCCGCGGACCATCCAAGACCCACACGCCTGGTGAAAAAACGCAATCACTTATCTCTCCAAATACCAGTAATATGAAATTATTCATATTAACCGGAACAGAAAACATGTTTTTTTTTCAATGCCGCCGTAGGATATTTGTTTGGGGGGCATTTAGATCTTAGGGTTAGAGTAGTTAAATCAGAGTAGTTTACCTTAAATTCATTAATTAGTATTTTACTTATGACATTTAATTTTTAAAAATGTCCGAACCAAAATGTATAATAAGCGTTGTCATAATTGTCTGGATCAACTTTCATCCAGATCACAGCCCCACGGGGACCACCTGGAGGAGGGTCGCGGATCCACCACCTGTGGTGCCGGGGACCACCACTGAGAACCATCGCTCTAAGAAGTAGGTCCTTAATCTTCTTATTGTCGTACGGCTGCTGACGTAGATGCTGAACAACGACTACAATGTCACATCCAGGTGGTCAAGCCCAGACAACCGCGTCAGCAGCAATGGAGTGAATCGCTGTGATGTCTCCTTCATATTTGTGGATCGGGCATTAATTAAATTGGTTAATTACACCCTAAAGTTCATCCAGGCTGAGACTCAAATTCGCCGCGCCAAGACATTTGCGACCGCCACCTTTTAAAACACAATAATAATAATACGATTCGATCGCCGTGGTTAAGTGGCTTAGCCCCCTGCTTTGGAGGAATGGGAGTCATAAAAAATGCATTAACATTTCACACGTTACATTATTTGGGGACGCTTAGCAAACAGATTAAAACCACCATTTCATGGCCAAAACGCATGACAGTCCACTCACTGCCAAGCTATGCTGTTATCGTCTTAAACGGTACTTGGCTATTATTGCTCTTGCAAGAACATACCATAGCCACACACGCCAGTATTGCCAACATCGTATGAAATACGATACACAGTACAGCATTGCGTTTGCATTCTGTCGAGAAGAGGTTGCAGGGTGAAACACACAAGTCGCTGAGTGGGTTAAATTTTGACACTCGGGTTTCCTTTGTTTACATCTCAAACCCTTCGCTAAAAACACGACGTTGTGCAATTGGCCGAAGCGTTAAGGGTCCGATGTAAAAACAAAAAGGACCCCACCTCATCTCAATCTGCTCGCGTCCACGTCCTTCTTTAACAATCGGAGCCTTCTGTCGACACCCCCCAAATTCCGCTAAATTGGAGATTGCTCCTCTTCTGTCGCCGTCTCCCATTACCTCTCCTCTGGCGGCTCCGTACGGCCATTTTTCACTTCCCACGTTCCAGTCCAGCTTCTTCGTCTTCTTCTTTGTCTTGTTCTTTGTCTTGTTCTCCACCGCCACCGCCGCCTTTAGTATGTAACTTTATGAAACTATTCTAGTCTCGCCTTTTCAAAAGCCGTTCCATCATTGTCCTCACCTGGGGCGTTCCACGCCTCATTCCCCCTCCCCTCCAATAAAAAGTTTGACACTTTAAATTATCTCCATGCACGTTCGTACTATTTGCACGGTGCCCTGAGATGCGGTCACGTTTCGACTCTTATAAATGAAAATTGTATCCTACGTTATCTCCACATCGCATGCAACACCGCGCATTAAAATTTACGAGTGGAATTTTTTTTTGCCAAGTAGACCTCTCCCATGGAGTCTGCAATGTAAGCTACCACGCATATTTGCACAACTGCTCTCCCACGTAGTCTGATGCTACATTGCAGGCTACTCGGGAGAAAGATATGCTATTTAAACCAGTTCAAACCGGTATTCACAAACGGTTAACCAGAACCAAACCTTTAAAAACATTATTTTGAGCCGACTGAAATGTGTGACCATAGACCGGTTCAAATGGCTCTCGGTGACGCCCAAAACACAATTTGGGGAAAACCAGCGCGCTGACAATAGGCAGAACCAACAATGGCAAACAAATTCCCCCATAAGCAATGATAACCCGTCACCCTCATCGATAGCATCCATTTAGATTACTTTGCAATAGATTGTGAATTCATGATCATTAACTCAAATGAAATCGTGATGCATGATTCTATTAATCGTTATCATGATAATTGTTTTTTTACCCTTTTATCTGGCAACAAAATTGACACCTTTTTTTACAAGGAGTCATGTTTGCATTGACCACAATACCTGCAGTCAGAATGCAAACAAAAAACATAACTCTGATAATGTATGCACTGTCCTTGAAATTGATTGGTCCACACCCGAGACAGCTTTCTTTAGAACCTAGTCTCACATTGTGTTGGACCAGATGACGCCAAAAGGCGCATTTTGGCGTCATCTGGTCTAACATTGCATTCCGACTGCAGGTATTGTGGTCAATGCAAACATGACTCCTTGTAAAAAAAGGTGCCAGTTTTGTTGCCAGATAAAAGGGTAAAAAAACAATTATCATATTTTGTTGCTGGCAAATGAGGTTCCAATCGTTATCATCATCATAAGTCCCTTAAACATGACTATCATGAGGGACTTTTGCATTCTTCTGTATTGAGGTAACGAAATTGTTTCATACCATGTATCAGGACCAATGCCAAGACTATTTCTACTGCCCCGAGCTATGGTGGATAGCGAGGTGTGGTCCCTGTGGTTGGCGACGACGTGTCCTGCCCAGGCCCACATACTATTCTTAAGGGTCAATGATCCATATAGTCACACGTCGCTCTTCCTGTCTCCCACAGTAATTACAAGTATGCTGCTCTTCCATCTCTCCTTGTGCAACAGGCAAGCAGCAGCCCACCGTTGTGAAGTGGGTTAATTTTGGATAAATTTGCTCAATGGCTTAGAACTCCATGCTGCAACTTAAGACGCTTTTCCGATTAAAGAGCTCTTTTTTTAATCATGGCACTTACTTTCTTCCACCTCCATGGTTGCTCCTGGAAATACATGTTTATCAGTTATTACGTTAAATCCCAAGATTACCGCACTGGGGCGCCCAACACGCGCACATACATCCATAAATTTAATATTACCAACGAACCCCATTTCCAATGGGGTTAATTACCCCGTGCAAACGAGTCCTCCGGCGCGTAATCCGATTTCATCGCTCCATCTCCATCGTGGATGTCCTTCTCAGATGTGTTCCCTACTTTGTCTGGCACTTTGGCGGTAGTTTCGGCAGCAGCCATCATCCCTTCCGACGATCTGACCTGCCAAAGGCCACGCCACTTTCTTAACAGCCATTATAACCACTCTTAACAGGTATACATATCATGGGACCTCCTTTGCCAGCATCAAAATATGAGAATAAGTTTTCCCTTTTTTTCTGGCAACAAAACAGGTGTTAAGATGTTAAAACACCAAACTTAAACCTTTTACAAGGAATCATATCTGCATTAACCATTCTTACAAAGCAATAAAGAGGCAGGCAAAAGCAGATTGGCGTGCTTTTGAAAGGCTGAATATGATGCATGTATGTACGTATGATGAACTTCTTTCGCACCGTACGTAGCCAACCGTGCTAAGAGGAGGTGCGGGGGAAGCACGACAAACTAAACACAAAAAGCAGTTCTTAAGACATTAGTTTGCCAATCTAGATGATTTAAAAGTGCGTAGCTCCCAGTGACTTCCTAATATCGGTAGGAAGAGCGTTCCAAACAGCTGCAGAAGTGCACCTGAAAGCCCGCGATGCGGTGACTGCGTCTTTGTTCGATGGTTAGCCAAAAGCCGCTGTGAGGATGATCGGAGTTTGCATGATGACGGTTTTATGATTCTTGAAGAGAAGATGTAATGGAAATCACACACCAAGGTGCCTAAAGAAGAACACTGATAATGACTGTATATCGCATCTCAAACACGTGATAGTGCACCCCAGGCGGCAGCTGTCCCTGCAGGCACAATGTGACAGCACCTGTGGGTGAAGTACAGGATGGCCCACTTACGGAATTCGAGAAATTACGTAATTCCAGACGTGTCCTAACGCCGATTCCATATGAGAGTTACGCATAAGATTTGTGTAAGTTAGCAGAGAATCATAATTATAATACAAATTTAAATGTATCTGCACCCTTAAACAATTGTTTTTCAGGGTGCTATGCATGAAAAGGCAGAAATAGTTTAACATCAACCAAGGAAATAAGATATGAGAAAGACGTTTGAAAATATCTAAAGAGAGAGAAAGCCATTTAAACAGACATTTTTAGTCGAAATTTTAAGATTTGTAAAGTGTCTCAGCAGTCCTGACCTCGAATGGCAACGAGTTCCAGAGTTTAGGTGCCACAATTGCAAAAGCACACATCTAGGTGTTGTCGAGACCACTATTACGTCGATTGTCAAAGTAAAAAAAAAACAACGTTGATGATTTAAATGAATAACCACACCACATTGACAACGTTTACATTCATTCTAAATATAATGAACAACAATGCCATTATTCACAATTGGTTTATTTTTGGGTTCGACCCGCCCGACAACAGCCAATTATTAAAAGTGTCACTTTAATCAAACGTGTCACATCTCTTACTGCTTCAGAACACCGGTTTACGTCGCACATTTTTACACAGCCTAGCCCAGGGCTTAGCAACCTGCGGCTCTGGGGCCGCATGCGGCTGTTTAAGTTCTGCTTCGTGACGTTATTTATTAAGGACCACCGTCTCGTGTGCACATGCATTGTGGCCCTTAAAATAGAGGTTTATTTGCATTGTCTTTGAGTTGTGCGCCTTTTGGCGTCATCTGGTCCAACACCATGTGAGACTGGGCTCTAAGAAAAGCTGTCTCCGGGTGTGGACCAATCAATTTCAAGGACAGTGCATACATTATCAGAGTTGTCTTTTTGTTTGCATTTTGACCGCAAGTGTTGTGGTTAATGCAAACATGATCCCTTGTATAAAGGTGTCAGTTTTGTTGCCAGTTAAAAGGGTAAAAACCTATTACTATACAGTAATCCCTCGCCACTTCGCGGTTCAAGTTTCGCGGCCTCAGTGCATCGCGGATTTTTCGAACTGATTTAAAGGCCTCATTATACCTGTGCAGTAACACCATCATCATCATCATTCATCATCACATTCATCGAACTGCACAGGTCTGTCATCGTCGTCATTGTCATCGTTGTCGTCGTCGACGTCATTACTGGAGTCAAGTCTCAAGATACTACTGTCATTGGTGAGTGTAGAACACCATAATACGTATCGTATGAGAGAGAGAGAGTGAATGTATAATATTAAGGTTTTATAATTAAATAGATTTAAGTAAAATATATATATATATAAAGTATAAATATACATATTCTAAACATTCTGGTACCCACACACACATATACGGAAATTCCTAGGGGGCCAATCCTACTTGGCGGATTTTAACCTATCGCGAGGGGTTCCGGTCCCCATTAACTGCGATAAACGAGGGATCACTGTATCTTGCTACTGGCAAAGGAGGTCTCATAATGTAAAAATAACTCTTCTTCTTGTTTTGATTACTGACCCCTGGCCTAACCCAAAGGAAACCAAAAACGACTCATAATACCCAAATGATGAATCATACCTTTGACCATGAAAGCCTACGTAGAGAATTAATAAAACACACTTAACTCAGCCACAAAGCGGCTGAAGCGCATGCAGCAATGACATCATGGTGGCCATGATGTAACCTCCAACACCCACCGCTGTGCACCCAGAGTTGCGATCTTACTCAAACACGCGCGAATACTTGATCTTTTTACGTACACAGTTTCGGATACTAAGACAATTGCTGCCTGTCAGATTTTAAATTCATTTTCTGTACTTGGAGGCCACTGGCTTGCATACAGGGGCACGAGTCTGCCTACTGGGGGGCGATGATATATATCTTCGTATAATTTTCTTACTACGACCAAACTATGCTAAATTCACCAAACAAATCACAAGGCTTTTCTGGTCAAACGTTCAACTCAGTCGAAAAAAAAAGCTAAATATTCTTTGGGTCTTTCAGTAAAGCCACGTAGATAGAAAAAATAAAAAAAATAAAAACAATATCACGACGTTTCGATCGCAACACAAGCAATCGTCTTCAGGTGAAAAAAGTGGGGTAAATCTGCCGAGGCAGGCTGTTTATAAAGGTTTAGAGATGGGCGGGGCAGCTAATGTTAATGTTGGAGAGGTCACCATAACCTGCAGGAGGTCTACACCAATCAAAGAGCTGTTTACAAATGGTTTAGAGATGGGCGGGGCAGCTAATGACAATGTGGGGGAGTTACTACGGAGCTGTGGGGGAGTTACTACGGAGCGGTGGGGGGTCACCATTGTATTGTGAGAGATTAGCATGTCAATGTAAGAAAGTTGAAGCTCGGCGAGAGCTCGGACAGCGCAGTGGCCACATGGAGGTGGA